TATATATATATATATATATATATATATATATATATATATAAAGTTGGGGATTAATAAACAAACAACTGTTTATTCAGAAGAAGATGTTTTAGCTTTTTTTTTTTTAAAAAATACAAAGTACTTTTTTTTCTTATACATGAAAGATTTTTGTGTTAGAAATTGAGTCTGAATATAGATGGGGAGATAGATATATGTCAGATAGAATAGTGTCATATTCTGAAAATCTTCAGCAGTAAAGGTCCATTTAAATCCCTCCTATTCAACACCGCTGGGTACCCTGCTGGATGTAAGTACGCAGTAAGTGGAGCTTCAAAATACAAAAACCTTTCATTCTTTCTTTCACCCTCTGGAAAGTTTAAATCCATTGCCTTAAATATTTCAAAACCACAGATAGCGCAGATTTTCATTTTATTTTCTGTAAAGCTTTCCACAGAGGTTGGAACCCTGATGGCAACGACAAAAGCCTCTCAGCAAATGTCCTTTCAACATGCTGAATGTAAAGAATGTAAAATGTATGTAGCTGTAAGCTCAGGCTCTATTCTTTCTCCATTCCAATGGAGCGCACACTGACTGCTTTTGAAAGCTACTGAGCTCAACCACTGCAAAGTTCACCTAGGATTTTATTTGAAATGAACTGTGCAAAATTTGTTTTGTTAAATTGATTATTTCATATGATTAAACGTACTCTAAAAAAAGTAACATAATTTTTTAAGACATTTTGATATCTACCACCAAATAGAAGAAGAAGTCTGACTTTCATTTTATAATTTGATGACAATAAAATGGACTGAAGAAGAACATGGTTCAGGCGTCTGATCAGCTGTCTCTTATGGAGCTAGATCGGTTTCAATTTTCACAAATACACAAATGTGATTCATACGTGCACAGGACAAGATTCACCAAAGTATTTCTGGTCCATAAACTATTATAAATTATATGAAAAAGTACCAGAAGTATTTAAACTTCACTGCATTTGTGTGTGGATTTTTGAGGCTCCTGATGTGCCTCGATACACAAATGCATTTTTTAAACAGGGGATGGTTTTCCACCTATCACAAAGCTCCCTTGTATAAGCCAATCACACAAAAGTAATCCACGTGGGATGACCCCAGATGCCACATCCTGTGTGTCTCCGCCCCGCTCCGCTCAACCCCATTCATGTACATTGTGCAGAACACTTGCGCACTCATTTTATCCAGTGAGAGGCGTTCCACATTCTCTTTTGAACGTCACCATTTACGTATGTCTTCTCCATCCTTCATCATCAAAATAAGGAGCCAAGTTCTTTTTAGCTCCACGCCGAGGGCGATCGCTAGCCTCGTGAGACCAGAGCTTCAAAGATTTAACTCGCTAATCAGTCTGGAGACTCTCCGTTAAAGAAAATTTGGAGCCGTTCACCAAACGAACGTCCAATCAGCGTTGGCTTTGAGGCGGGTTCAGGTGTGACGCA